AGCCCTACTGGGACCATCTCAGCTTCACAGGGACTGTCTCAGCCCCACTGGGACCGTCTCAACCTCACAGGGACTGTCTCAGCCTCACAAGAACCCTTGCAGCCTCACTGGGACCGTGTCAGCCTCACAGAGATCGTCTCAACCTCACATGGACCGTCTCAGCCTCACAAGAACCCTTGCAGCCTCACTGGGACCGTTTCAGCCTCACAGAGACCGTCTCAGCCCTCAAAGGGACCGTCTCAGCCTCACAAGAACCCTTGCAGCCTCACTGGGACCGTGTCAGCCTCACTGGGACCGTGTCAGCCTCAAAGAGACCGTGTCAGCCTCACGGGGACCGTCTCAGCCTCACTGGGACCATTTCAGCCTCACTGGGACCGTGTCAGCCTCAAAGAGACCGTGTCAGCCTCACGGGGACCGTCTCAGCCTCACTGGGACCATTTCAGCCTCACAGAGACGGTCTCAGCCCTCAAAGGGACCGTCTCAGCCTCACAGGAACCGTCTCAGCCTCACTGGGACCATTTCAGCCTCCCAGGGACCATTTCAGCCCCACTGGGATCAAAATTATATTAATTGACTACTGCTGTTATATGAATATAGAACTCTATCCCTGGAAGGCATACAATGTAATATCAAAACTGAGAAGAGAGAAAAAAAGGAAAAAACAAAATGAGAAGAGCAAATTGGTTCCAATTTGAGCAACAAAGGGTTTGATGGGCAGTGGCCGCCTCGCTGTGTAGAAAAGGGTCACCAGGCTCAATTTGCCCTCATCAAGGAAATCCCTGCACTGTTGCTTGCCATGGGCGCTGGAGAGGAAGGCCGGAGGGAGATTTGCATTTGACATCCCGAATCTAACGCAGAGCTTTCCCTTTGAAGAGAAGGAATGTGATGCCCACAAAAACCATCTTCTTTGCCATGTTAGTTTAGTCTTAAGTCAGCATCTAAGGCAAATATAAAGACATTTTAATATTTTGGATGATTTTTTTGAAATTATTTCTTTCAATCCTTGTTATCAATACAGAGCCGACTTCATTTTGCTTTCCTCTCTGGCATTATCATCTAGTTAGTGAATTTAATTCCTTTTTTCATCCTCAGTTCTTTCTGCACCATGCCTTTAATTTTTTTCTTTAGACCAGCAATTTTCCATCTTCTTTATCCGATGGCACACATAAATTACTAAAATCCTGCGGCACACCAAAAATATATTTTTTACCTATCTGACCAAAAAAATAGGTATAATTTTGATTCATTCACATTGGATGGCTATTGTGTTGAATGCTGTCACTTTTTTATTTGACAATCTAAGGGAAAAGGTCAGTGCCCATAACTACATAGTCAGGTATTGCACGTTGTAAAACTTCTTGCAGCACACCAGTTGAAAATCGCTGGCCTAGACACTTCTGGTCACAAGTAGACATTTATCCAATTGTTTCTCTTTTGACCAAATATTTTTCTCTTCTGTTTTTTTGTTTTATTCCTGATTAAGAGAAAACTACCAGTATTGTAACCGATATTAAGTTCTAGTAGCCAGTTAATGAATGATGAGGACAAGTGTCAGCTTTACTAAACACATTAAGTACAAGTGTCAGCTTTACTAAAAAACAACACAAGCAACACACACAAAGAAAACTGTCCAGGCCTAATCAGTTTGGCTCAGTGGATAGAGCATTGTCCTGGGGACTGAAGAGTTCCAGGTTTGATTCCAGCCAAGGGCAAATGCCCAGGGTTGCCGGCTGGATCCTCAGTAGGGGGCGTGCAGGAGGCAGCTGATCAATGATTCTCTCTCATTGATGTTTCTATCTCTCTCTCTGTCTGAAATTAATAAAAATATATTTAAAAAAGAAAAGGGGGGGAGGTTGGGGGTTAATGGGGGGGATGAGGACACATTTGTAATACCTTAACTAATAATAATAATAATGAAAAAAAGACAAAAAAAAAAAAAAAAAGAATCGAAAACTGTCCAGCCCAGCCAGATAGTTCAGTTGGTTAGAGTGTCAGCCCAATATGTCAAGGTTGCAGGTTCAATCCCGTCAGGGCACATACAAGAATAAACCAATGAATGCCTAAATAAGTGCAACAACAAACCCATGTTTCTCTCTCCCTTTGTCTCTGTCAAATCTGACTGGAGGTGTTTGGAACGTCGTCACTGTTAGGGTCACCGAAGGAGGAACGCACGAGGCCCAAAGGGGTAAAGAATTATGAATTTATTACGTCACTGGAAAACCAGATGGGCCGAGCCCCAAAATGGCACCAGCACCCAGGGACTGGGAGTCAGCGATTCTAAAGAACTCTAGGTGGGCATTTTCTGGGCGGAGAATTCTCTGGGCGGGTCCTGATAATGGTCTTAGCAAGCAGAATGTCGTGTCAGCAAGTGCTAAGCAAGAGGGAATGTCTGTTGTGAAGTGGCCTAAAGGCCAGCTCCCAGGGGGAGGGTCTCCATTCAATTATTCCATCAGATCTAACAGCCACGCACACCTGGCCAAGGCACATACCTGGGTTGTGGGTTCAATCCCTAGTCAGGGTGCGGGTGGAAGGTAACCAACCAATGGTTCTCTCTCATATCCATGTTTCTCTCTCTCTCCCTTCCTCTCTCTAAAAAATTCAAGTAAAAAAAAAACTGTCCATGGGAGGGGAGACAGGCCAAGAATGCCTGATGGGTAGGAAAAAGATGGGGGGGCACACTGACAATCCAGCTTTGGGTTTAGAGCAGCGGTTCTCAACCTGTGGGTCGCGACCCCTTTGGCGGTAGAACGACCCTTTCACAGGGGTCGCCTAAGACCATCCTGCATATCAGATATTTACATTAAGATTCATAACATAGCAACATTACAGTTATGAAGTAGCAACGAAAATAATTTCATGGTTGGGTCACAACATGAGGAACTGTATTTAAAGGGCCAGAGGTAGAGAACCACTGGTTTAGAGGACTATAAGTGGTCAGGGGCCCCCAGCTGATAACCTGACTTAGCTGCAGGCAGGTTTCGTTTCACCTGCTAGCATTTCCCATTTGAATTAGTTACCAACATTCCCAAACAGTTTCCCATAATCATCCAGAAACTGGGACTTTAAATTTTATTCAATATTAATTAGTTTTAAGAGCCACCTATGGCTAGAGGATACTGTATTGGACAGCACAGATTAGGGTCCACTCCAGAGAAATCCAGGGTGAGGTTCCTTGGCCCTGCCCATGGCTGGCTGTGACAGAGCCACCTCCTCTCACCCAGCCCACTCCAGGTCTTTCTGGGATGGGGGGGAGAAAGCCACCATTGTGACAGTCAGGAGGGTGATGGATGTCATTAGGGTAAATGTAAAAAAAAGAAAGAGGAACCCTCGCCGGTTTGGCTCAGTGGGTAGAGCTTCGGCCTGTAGACTGAAGGATCCTGGCTTTGATTCTGGTCAAGGGCACGTACTATGCTTGAAGCTCCTCCCTGGCCTGGGCCCTGGTCGGGACACGTGCAGGAGGCAACCAATCGATGTGTTTCTTTCACATCAATATTTGTTTTTCCCTCTCTCTAAAAATCAATAAAAAAATATCCTCGGGTGAGGATTTAAAAAAAAAAAGAAGAGGAAGGCTGTTCTAGGGCAGGCCTCTGTGTTGGCCATGGGGGAGCACTGACGCTGGGGGCATTGCCGTGCCTGCTGTGGGGTTCAAGTCCCAGGCCTGTGACCCTGTCGGCAGAGGCACACCGGTTGACAGCAGAGGAGAGGAACCAAGTTATGCTTGACCTTAAAGCAGCAGGAGGGTCGGAATTAAATGGGAGATGCCATCTACAAACAGTTCTTCAAAAATTTCAATCAGGCATTTGGCTTTCTGTCTGGAGTTGCCCCACAAGCAGAAAAAATAAGTCACTGGGAATGGTTCAATGTATACAAGAAAGTCCAGATCACTCTCACCTGCCGGGAGCCGGTCCATGCTTGCTGTTTCAAGGGACCTGGCATATATGGCATACTGTTCTTAATATGTTTGCTCACCTTCTTAGCACTATGTGTTTTAACCAAGGTCTCTGAGAAAGGTTTCCCCAGGTAGGAATTTTCCCCTGAAGTGAGGGAGGGAATAAAATCCCTTAACTAAGTGCCAGGCGGGTAATTAATCACTTTAACTACGAACAATCATGCTTAAGCTACATAATCTTTACTCCCTGGAATGGAGATAAGAAACACCCTAACCTTTGTAATAGTGATTGATAGGATTGAATCAACTGGTATAAATACAGATGTAACAAGACAGCAAGAGTCAGAACTTAGAATACAGAACTTAGAACACAGAACTAAGAACACAGAACTTAGAACACAGAACTTAGAATACGGAACCAAGAGAGACAGAACCTACACAGAACGTTCTCTAGAGACAGAAGAACTTCGCTGGAGAGAACATGGCAAAAGATCCTGGACAGAAACTGGCCTCAGAACCTAGGGAGAGAACATGGCAAAAGATCCTGGACTGAACCTGACTACAGAAATTGGCAAGAGAACCTGACTAGAACCTGGTGACTGAACCTGGCTGGAGAACCTGGACAGAACCTGGCTGGAGAACCTAGCAAGAGAACATGGACACAGAACCTGGCTGGAGATCCTAAGCAGAACCTCTCTGGAGATCCAGACCAGAACTTGGCTGGAGATACTGGCAGGAGATCCTGGCTAGGCTGCTGATCAACTGAACACTGTCTCCGTGTCCTTCCTTCTTCACCGACTCTGTCTACACCTTTGGAGACCCCTGGACCTGCTGGGATTGGACCCCGGCACTCACCTCACACGGCTGTGGTGGACTGTCCAAAGAGGCGTGAATCTGGCCACGTTTATTGAAAAAGCAGCTGCTTCCGGGTGATTTCTCCCAAAATGCATATAAAACCTTATAACCCTCTTAGGAGTAATATATTTTGAAGACAGTTTATATGAACAATTTAAGTTGTAAATTTAATTCACCTTTATACCACATTTTGAAAAATTAATGCTTAAGTACAAAATGATTGGGTTTTTTTAAGGCTCTTCTACTTTGGCCATTTTCAAATACTTGCCGAGGCCAGGAAGAGATGCTTCCGGGGAAGGGAAGAGCTATCGCAGGGTTCACCTGCGCCAGAGGGAGGTGGTGTGGGCCGAGCAAGGGTGGGTAAGGCCAGGAGCTCCCCTGCAGGCCCGGGCTGCCAGGAGGCCAGGGAGAGGCCTGCAGGGCAAGCCTGCTAGTACAGGGTCTCCCGGGAGTGGGTTCTCAGGTGGCGAATCAGGTGGGAGTTGCGGCTAAAGCTGCGGCCACACTGCGTGCAGGAGTAGGGCCTGGCCCCTGTGTGCACCAGCATGTGGCGCAGCAGGTTGCAGCTGCGGCTGAAGCTCTTGCCGCACTCCAGGCACTCTTGGGGGGGCTCGGCCTGCCCGGATGCCAGGTCCCCGGTGCCCGCATGGGTGGCCAGGTGCCGCTGCAGGTGGGCATTGCGCCGGAAGCTCCGGCCGCACGTCTTGCAGCCGTAGGGCCGCTCCCCCGTGTGGCTGCGGCGATGGCGGGCCAAGTTGGAGCTGTTGCGGAAGCGGTGGCCGCAGGTGTCGCAGGCGTGGGGCTTCTCCCCGGTGTGGATGCGCTGGTGGCGCGCCAGGTGGGCGCTCTGGCTGAAGCCCTCGCCGCACTCGCTGCAGCGGCAGGGCTTCTCGCCCGTGTGGCTGCGCCGGTGGCGGGCCAGGTCCTGCGTCTGGCTGAAGGTCTTGCCACACTGGGCACAACGGTAGGGCCTCTGGCCGCCGTGGGTGAGGAGGTGGCGGGCCAGGCTCGCTCTGCGCACAAAGCGCTTGCCACACTGTGGGCAGCCGTAGGGCTTCTCGCCGGTGTGCACTCGCTGGTGGCAGACCAGCTGGGTGCTCTGGCTGAATCTGCGGCCGCACACCTGGCAAGAGAAGGGCCGCTCGCCCGTGTGCACGCGCAGGTGGGCCGCCAGGTGCTCGCTGCGCCGGAAAGCCTTGCCGCACTCGCTGCACACGTAGGGCCTGCGCTCCGGGGCGGGGCGCGGGCTGTCTGCGCCCTCGGGGCCCTGGTGGCTCTTGTCTTTGGCGTGAATCCGCAGGTGACGCTTGAGGCTGGAGCGGCGCTTGAAGGTCTGGCCGCAGTGCGAGCACAGGACGATGGTCAGCTCTGCCACTTTGGTCTTGGTGTCCGGGGCACAGGGGCCCTTTTGGTCCTGGGCGTGCGCCAGCAGGTGCTGCAGGAGGCTGGTCCGGCTCTGGAAGCCCTGGCCGCATTCGGCGCACAGGAAGGCGGGCTCCGAGTGTGTCTGCAGGTGCTTGTTGAGGTGGGAGCTCTGGCGGAAGCGGTGGCTGCACAGATGGCAGGCGTGCGGCCGCTCATCCGTGTGCGTGCGCATGTGCAGCTTGAGGATGGAGTTGCGGCCGAAGGTCTTCCCGCAGCACAGGCACTGGAAGGACCGCCGGCCCGGGTGAGAGCGCAGCAGGTGCCCTTCCAGGCGGGACAGCTTCGGGAAACTCACCCCACATTCTGTGCAGATGAACTTGGGCTCTGGCTCCGACTTGGGGGCCCCGGCGGCCGCTTGGCCCTCGGCAAGCACGTCACTCTTGCTGTCGGAGGACTCTCCTCCCCGGGAGCTGCTCACCGCGGGGCCCTGCCCCAGCGGCTGCTCCTGGGCCTCTGCTGCCGCCCCTGGACTGTCTGGAGACTCTGTTGCGCTAGCAGCAGGCCAGGCGACCCCTTTGGGATCTTCTTGGAACTCGTGTGGGATTCTGTTTGTAAATCCTGTAAAAGGAGCAAAACCAGGACTGATCAGGCCTATGCCAAGGGGCTCCCAGGAGGCGCCAGAAGCTCATTGCCTGGGAACAGAAGGAAACGCAGGATCCGGTAAAGCTGGTGGGTGGCAGAGGGTGTGGGGTAAATACAAGTAACGAACCACTTTACTGTAACTGTTGTATAGTGTGCACTTCTAGGCCATTAGATATGCTAGTATTCACATGCTGTGTAACTGTCACCACTATCCAGTGTCAGAACTTGGTCATTCCCCCGAATGGAAACGCCATACCTATTCGCCAGCACTCCTACGACTACCTTTTATATATATATATTTCAGAGAAAGGGCGAGGGAGAGAGATAGAAACATCAATGATGACAGAGAATCATTGATCAGTTGCCTCCTTCACTCCCCCTACTGGGGATCCACTCACAACCTGCGCATGTGCCCTTGACCGGAATGGAGCCCAGGACCCTTCAGTCCGCAGGTGGATGCTCTATCCACTGAGCCAAACTGGCTAGGGCTGACTACCGATTTTAAAAATTCAGAGTTAGTCCTGGCTGGTGTGACTCCATTGGTTGGGCGTCATCCCTTGCTCCACAAAGTTGCCGGTTCAATTCCCAGTCAGGGCACATGCGGGGTTGCAGGCTGGATCTCAGGTAGGAAGTGTGCAGGAGGCAGCCCATCGATGTCACATGGATGTTTTCCTCTCTCTCTCTCTCTCTCTCTCCCCCTCTAAGAAAATCAATAAAAATATTTATGAAGCCCTGACCGGTTTGGCTCAGTGGATAGAGTGTCGGCCTGTGGACTGAGAGGTCCCAGGTTTGATTCCGGTCAAGGGCATGTACCTTGGTTGCGGGCACATCCCCAGTTTGGGATGTGCAAGAGGCAGCTGATTGATGTTTCTCTCTCATCGATGTTTCTAACTCTCTATCCCTCTCCCTTCCTCTCTGTAAAAAATCAATAAAATATTTTTTTTAAAAAAATATTTATGAAGAAAAAAAAAAAGCCCAGAGTTAAAGGGGTTGATGATTACATCAGACACAATGAGCTGTTCAATATATACAGGGTGGGACACAAGTAGGTTTATAGTTGTTTGTATAGAAAATAATAATTAATAAATGATAAAATAAGAATAAACTCTGTTTCAGGTACTCACTTTTTCAAAAAGTAAACCTACTTTTAAAAAAATATTTTTTTTAGTTGATTTCAGAGAGAAAGGGAGAGGGAGAGATAGAAACATCCATGGTGATAGAGAATCATTGATTGGCTGGCTGCCTCCTGCACGCCCCAAACTGGGGATGGAGCCTGAAACCCGGGCGTGTGCCCTGACTGGGAATCGAACCAGTAACCTCCTGGTTCAACCACTGGGCCTCCCTGGCAGGACTGTAAACCTACTTTTGCTCCACCATATATATGATCTCCATCAAAATAGCCCGTGTTTAGCCAAAAAGGTTCAAGTAACAGGTAGAGGGCCTGGAGCTTCAGGAATCACATCCCAATGAGAAGAAAGAGGCTTCAGGGTGTGTAACCCCTGGAAGGGGCTCTTACCCAGAGGGTACACAGGCCATGCCTTCTTCACGGGGACATCTTCAAAGGTCAAGGACTCCTGTAACAAAAAGAGGGGCAGAACCCACAGTGAGTAAGGAACACGGCCCTGGGGCCTGAGGGGATGGAAGAGCTTACTAGGCTTAAATTCGGGAAGACATGGACTTGCTAAAACTGCAGAGGCAACGAACATTTGGACAGAAGAGCATCCTGGAGTGAGGGGCCCAGTCCAACTCACCAGGACTGCTGCCAGCTCCTGATCACGGGAGTTCTCTTCAGACCACAGCTCGGGGCCCTGGGGGGCTGACAGCATCGGGGGAGAAAGCGCTGTGAGAGGCCAGCCTTACCCAGCAGCAGGCGGAGGACAGGCACCTGTTGTTCAGTCTCTGCGACTTCTTGGCTCTCACCCACTCCCGCCAATTAGGGGCTGCCCACTTCCCTCCCCACCTGGCCTCCCAGCTCCCACCTTCCTTGGGCACCAGCTCCTCACCACTATCCTGCAGGGCCTGGAATGTCCTCTTGGGACCTGGGCTCAGCGGCTGCTTTGAACTTGGGGGAAGTCTCCAGGCCCCCTGCTCAGCAGGCTGGGAGGGCCCTGGCTGGGGGGGCAGGAGTTCCGGTGCTGGTTCCAGGGCTGGAGGCTTTTCTGGGGGCACTTCTTTTTTGGGGCTGTGGACAGAGACCTGGGAAGGGTCCCCGTGCTCTTCCACGGTGATGTCTGCACGGGGACAGTTCTTGCCAGCATTAAAACTAAAGTCCTGTTCAAAACAAATCCATGTCAGGCAACAGACAGGGTGGTAGCCCATGTCCTACTGGCTCCTCAGACGCGAAACCAAGGAAAGATGAGAGTCAGATGGGAAGAAATTAGGAGGTTAAGAAGGAATGGGCACAGGGAGGAAAGGGGAGTGCCCAGTGATTCCTAATGGGGCCATGAAGTCCCTCTTTCCCACCAGCTGTCCAGCCCACCGAGCTGCCACCTCTTACCAGTGGCCCCACGTCAATGGACTCCCTCTGGACACCCTCCAGCAGCAGCACCACCTCCTCGCCGTCCCTGAGCTGCTGGCCCTTGAGCCGGGCCAGGATGTGCGGGGGCAGCACACTCAGGAACTGCTCCAGCACCAGCAGCTCCAGGATCTGCTTCTTGGTGTGCAGTGCTGGCCGCAGCCAGTGGCCGCAGAGCTCCCGGAGCCGGCTCAGCGAGGCCCTGGGCCCCATGTCCTCCTGATACTGGAAGCATCGGAAGAGCTGGTGAGCCACTTCGGGCCGGAGCCTGATCTCTGGCCGCCTGGGGTCCTCCTGGCCAGCAGCCTCCTCCTCCTCCAGTTTTACTGCACTGAGCTGCTCTGGCTCCCTCTCCGCCGGGTCGGTTTCCACAAGCATCCTTCACCTTCGGGGTCACCTCACCACACTGCTCCCACTCTGAGTCTCTCTCCCTCTCTGCTCCCACACCTGTGGTAAGAGATGAAAAAGAAGAGAGAGAGAGAGAGAGAGAGAGAGAGAGAGAGAGAGAGAGAGACCTAAAGATGTGGCCTCCAGAGGAATCGTTTCTTGCCCTGGTCATGAGAATGGCTCAGCCAGCCCAATGCACCAAAAGGCAGAGAAACGGACAGTTCTGTATTACCATCCTCTCTGCAGTAGTTAGAACTCCGCCTCACTTTGCCCCAAAGTTGGCGACTTTCCCGGTCTCTTGATGTAATGCCGAGGGAAGTACATGGCAGTACTGAGGATGGGTCCTTACCAGCTATGTTCCATCGCAATCCAATCCGTTCTTCAGGCCCAACTTTCAGTATAAAGGGCAGTGTAGGGCATAAGAAGTCAAATGAGCCCTCAAGGAAAAATTGAATCAGGCCTAAAGACAGGATGTTCCCGGGTCAGCTGGCCCAGGCTCTTCAGTCTCTGTTATAAAAAATAAGTCCCTGTAGGGGCAAATTGCTCGAGACTAACACCCCTTGCAACCAAAAGCATGAAACCTGATAGGATTCTGATTTTTTAAAATATATATATTTTCTATTTCAGAGAGGAAGGGAGAGGTAGAGAGAGATAAAACATCAATGATGAGAGATAATCATTGATCAGCTGCCTTATTCATGCCCCCCACTGGGGATTGAGCCCACAATCCAGGCACGTGCGTGCCCTTGACTGGAATGGAACCCTGGACCCTTCAGTCTGCAGGCTTCGCTCTATCCACTGAGCCAAACCAGCTAGGGCCGGATTCTGATTTTTTAAATATTTTTTTTCTAATTAGTTTCAGAGAGAGAGGAAAGGATAGGGAGAGAAAGAAACATATTGATGCATCAACATTAATAAGTTGCCTCCTGCAGGCCCCCTGCTGGGGATCGAGCCCTGGAACCCAGGCATGTGCCCTGACTGGGAATTGAACCTGCCTCTCGGTGCTTGGGTTGACTCTCAAGCACTGAGTGACACTGGCCAGGCTGGACTGGGACCAGGGATCGAGCCTGCAACCAAGGTACACGGTCTTGACTGGAATCGAACCCGAGACCCTTCAGTCCTGGGCCCGACGCTCTAACCACTGAACAACTGGCCAGGGCTGGATTCTGATGTTTTTAAAAAGGCTCTCAAAGATATTTCGGGATTAATTGGGGAAACTTGAACATGGATGGGGCACTAGATGACAATGAAGATGAATTTCTGAGATGGAATTTCAGTTTTGTGGTGTGCAGGAAATGTCTTTATTCTTAGATGTTGAAGGGTTTGGAAGTGAAGGGACACAAGGGTTCAACCAAACTTATGGGCCGACAAAGAGCTGGGATGGTCTCCAGGTGAGAGATCCGCTTACAGCTTGCAGAAGTTTGTGACAGACGGGTCCCCAAGGCAGGCCAGAACCGCTTTGCCTGTTTCAGAGGCCTCTAGTGGGTGTGCCCTTGGGAGCTGGGTATGGGCAGAAGAGGCAGTTTTCTTCATTTTTTTTTTTTAAATTTTGGATTCTTCCTTGGTCTATCCTATCCCTCTGGGAGGAATCCATCCCTGAGTCTGGCCGGCAATAAAGTGCTTCTAACTGGCCACCAGGGGGCACTGGATCCCTGTGACTGACAATGCACCGCCCCTCCCCCCCCCCTTTCCTGGCAAGCCCCAGAGGGTTCTATGGGGCTACTCAGTCTTTTGGGGGAGGGGAAGGGGGACGGGTAGCCCAGCTACCAAAGTGGGAGCTGCCCCAAGTTCAGCCCCACTCACAGGGGACTCAATTTAGTCCTTCAGCACAACCCAGTGCACACCTGTACTTTGGTTACAGAGCTTTGGGGCACTTTTGTATTTTAATTTGGGCAGGAATTATTCTGTGGATATTGAAACCCGAGTCCAGATCTCTTTCTGCCCTCCATGCTGTCCAGACTCAGGGTTAAAAATGAGCTTCTCCCCAACCTGTCTCCCCACTCTCACCCCATGGACATCCCAGGCAGAGAGGTTCAGCACCACTTTCCACCACCCAAAGGGAGTAAGTGCCCCAGAGCTCTGTAACAAACGCACAGGTGTGCACTGGGTTGTGCTGAAGGACTAAATTGAGTCCCCTGTGAGTGGGGCTGAAGTTGGGGGAGCTCCCACTTTGGTAGCTGGGCTACTCCCCCCCCCCAAAAAAAGACTGAGTAGCCCCACAGAACCCTTTGGGACTTGCCAGGAAGGGAGGGGGGGCATTATCATCCTCATTATTCCTGGGTAATAACACAAATGAGCACAGATAACAGGTGGTCCCGTGTGATGGCTGAGGACGCCAATGCCCAGAGGTACAGACCAAGAAGGTAACTCAGCCCTGGCCGGTTTGGCTCAGTGGATAGAGCGTTGGCCTGCGGACTGAAGGGTCCCAGGTTCCATTCCAGTCAGGGACACATGCCCGGTTGCGGGCTCGATCCCTAGTTGTGGGCGTGCGGGAGGCAGCCGATCAATGATTCTCTCATCATTGATGTTTCCATCTCTCTCCCTCTCTCTTCCTCTCTGAAATCAATAAAAACTATTAAAAAAAAAAAAGGCGGTAACTCAACCTTGGCCATGGAGCCAGGGAGAAGTCAGTTTGGTGCAGAGCTTTGAACAATATGTTGAGCCCTCTTGGTATGGGACTCGGGGCCAAGGGGCTGAGGGTTCTGTAAACCTCCTTTTCAGGTGGGGTGAGTGGGGTGGGAACTGGTAGAACAGAAAGGATCTGGCTTTTTGAACGCCTGGTCCTACACTTCCTGCCTCAGAGAAGAGGAGAAAGGAGAGGGGAGAGGCCTACACCCTGACCACCTGACCAGGCCTGCCTCTCTCTCCAGCCTCCCCCACCCTCCGTCCTGCATCTCTCCAGCTTCCCTCCCCTTCCCCCACTTTCCTGCTTCTCTTCAGTCTTTCCCCTGCCCTCCTTAATCTCCCCTTCTCCCCCCTCCTCCCTCCAGCACTCCCCCAGACTCTCCAGCATCTGTTTCCCCTCAGCCTCTCCAACCTCTAGTCTTTCCTGCTCTATGTCATCTGGGGTTTTTCCCTTTATTGCCGGCTCCTCTACCCATTGTCCCCTCGCCTGTGGAACTCCACAACACACCAGCCACGTGGCTCTCCCCCTCCAGCGTCACTCGGTGCCACAATTTTGTGTGAGTGTATTTCTTCCCGTGGCCTGCGAGTAGGGACTGTTTGTGTGTGTTTTGTTTTGTTTAATTGATTTTAGAGTGAGGAAGGGAGAAGGAGAGAGAAAAGTACCAAGGTGAGAGAGAAAGCAGCCCCTACCAGGGGTTTTACCCACAACCTGGGTATGTGCCCTGACCAGGACTCAAACCTGCTACCCTCCGGTGCACAGGACAACGCTCCGGACCAACGGAGCCACAGACGGGCTCTTGTTCAGTAACTGTTCACCCGGCACTTGCTGTGACTTCAATGTTTGTTAACAGAAATAACAAAATGAGACGATAATGGCTGCCTTGCAGTTGTCATTTTTGAGGAATGCATGCAAAATGGTACAGAAAAGGTCTTTGATAAATATTCAAAAAAATGGAGTTTTTTTCCATTGTGTTTTGGTAGCAAGAGCAAAATAATTAGAGAACCAATCACGTGTAATCAGGAATCCGGTATTAACAGGGTGCCTAGCTATGTGGGTAGCTGAATCCCACTCCGACCCACGGGGTAAATTTGACAAATGCAAAGACTGTGTTCAAACAGGATGGGTAAACTGGTCAAGGTCACCCCAGGAGGAGACAGGATTTGCTGAAATTGACCCCCAAGCAAAAGCCCAGAAACAGAAAAGGGCCCAGGTTCCCTCCTGCCCTCATCTTAGCAGAACATCATAATGTGAATCAGAAAAAATAAGGGCATTCCAAATTCCAGCCATCAGGCCTAGCTACCCGGGGTGCCGGAACCGCCAGGTGAGGTCTCACCAAAAGGTTTGAAAGAAGTGGAATTCAAGGGAAATTGGCCTTTGAGTCCCTCCGTGCCTCGCCCCCTCCCCTAGCCCGAGCACACAAAAGCTTTGCTAATATGCACATCGTCTGTGGGGGTTGGGCTGGGGGAGGGGGAAGACTCTGCAGCCACCCTCTGGTATGTGACCATCTTAATTTGGAGCCCATAGTCAGGGAGGCCAAAGCTGGACCAGCCCAGAGCGGAGCTGCTGCCATGGGCACAGAGCGGGGGTCCTCGGCCAGGAACTCGACCTTTCTCCCTGAACACAGTTGGCAGGAGTGGCTCGTCTTTGTTGGCTGGGCTCCGCTCTTGGTGCTAAACTGAGTTGATAAGACCGGTCGGTCCTCCTGGGGGCAGCGGGTACAGCAAGCCCATGTCATAGCAAGTCTTGTAACCTCCCTGATGCCCCATCAACACCAGTCCACTGACCTGGTTGGCACTGGACCCTTCCCCAGCATGGACCACCCACACCCTCTCAAGACTGTCTTCCAGCCACCTAATCCCCCATCAAGGCCTGGAGCACCCAACCTCCCCACTCCCGGCCGCCCCACCCTCTGCCAGTTTTCTCTCCGAGCTGCTATGACCCCTTACGTTCGTCCTGGCAGCCTGCACCCCAGGCGCCCCTGCAACTCACCACTCGGTCCCCACTCCAGAGCCAGAGGTGCTGGGGTTCCGTGAGGGCTGTAGGACCAGTCAGGCTCGGCCAGCCTGGGGAAGGACTCCAGGAAAATGGGACAGGAAGTTCCCAGCCCCATCCAGGTGATGAGGGGGCATCCTAGAGTTAACCCTTAACCTCCCAGTTTGGGAGCTGGGTGGAGAGAAGGCAGGGCAGGGCCAGAGAAATAAAGGCAAAGAGGCTAATCCAGATTCCAACCCCAAACTGCTTGTGAGTCTAACTACCCCTCCAAGTAAGAACGGCCCCCACCTAGTCAAGACTGGTCCTATGCCCCTTGGGGTCTGTCAGCCTATACTTTGGGGTGAGGGGGACACAAGAGGTGCCATTTAAAAATGCCCAAGCCGGTGGACCAAGCCGGTTTGACTCAGTGGATAGAGCATCGGCCTGCGTACCAAAGGGTCCCAGGTTCGATTCCCGTCAAGGGTACGTACATCGGTTGCAGGCTCCTCCCCGGCCCGGGCCCAGGAGACAACCAATCAATGTGTTTCTGTCTTTCCCTCTCTCTCTAAAAATCCATGGAAAAAATATCCTTGGGTGAGGAGCAAATAATTAATTAATTAATAAAAATGCCTGCTGTGCGCTGGGCTTTTTGCGAGGCATTTCATTCGTGCAGCAAGTCTTTGCCACGGGCAGGCACAGCTGTAGGTGCTGGGGACACAGAGGCAGGCAGGACCTGGGCTCAGGGGCTTACACGCCAGGGTGCGGAACAAACAGTGATGGGTGCCAGGAAGAAAACGGAATAGGACTACGTAATGGGGGAGGGGAGGGCGCCGGCACCATTGCCACCCAAAATCCTCCC